TATATATATATATATATATATATATATATATATATATATATATAAATGAAAAAAATGTGTTAAAACATTATTGCGCTTTCAAAATTAACTTCCTCTCCATTAACATCAGTTCAAAGGATAAAAAAATTCTCAAGAAAACAACTCAAATCTCGATTTCTTTTGATGTTACCCCTCAATAAACACAAAACTTCTTGGATGAAGAGAAAGTTACCGGAAAACCTAATCTTAACGTATGAGGTCCTGGGAGTAATCTATGATCCAAGATTGGGATGTATAAGAGTGAACAAGAGTTAAAGAAGTTTTATACAATTATTCACTCATATTGAGAAAAAAATCTTTTACTGTAGTATAATACGTGAGTGCAAAATTATCGTTTATGTTATCTTGTTGTTTAACTCAGAAGTTTAGTAAATAATTAAAACTACTCCTTGTTTTCTCTCAACCACGAATATAGTTCTTACGAGAAAGGACGTTTAATCATCTTAGGCATGCAATCATTTCTCATAAATAATGATTTCCGTAATAAATTTATGTTTGTTTTATTATTAGTTTCTTATAATTATGGGTAAACATTTACAAATACCATATAGCGCACTTACTATATTACGTCAAAAGTGAAATAAGAGTTCTTCATATAATTTTTATTACGCAGACAGCTGTATAGATTTTATTCCGTTTTATCACTATGTAATTTATTAAAAATCCAAAGTTTGTTTTCATAAAATATTTCAAATTTAATACTGTCAATTCTGACAATCTATAGAATTGACCGTTATTGCTGTCAGTTTTCTCATTTTTTCCCTCTTCTCCAGGTAAAGGGATCCTAAAGTACAGTCCAAGTAAAAGTCATAAGCCAATTATGGGTGTTAGAAATTATATACCAAATTAAAGGGATAAAATAGAAAATTTGGAGTTGCCTTCCGTCTAGAGCGCATTTGTAAAAAGAAAATTTTGTAAACCCTTTCAATTTGGGATTTTTTTCAGAATCTTAGAAATACAGAGAGAAAATGAAAGGTCTGTCTTGCCTTCCATCAGCAGGGGCTAGAAAAAGAAAGCAGAACTCTGCACCATTCAAATCCTTAAACTATAAGCTGATCACCGTTTCCTGAAATCTGACTCTCATCAAAAAATTCCCGTCACGAATTCTCTTTATAAGATCCGATGTTTTACTTCTTTGCGTTTAGGAACTTATTCAATTCCCGTATTTAATTTCTTCCAGATATTGTTTTAACGATGATTCCCAAATTTATCTTTTCGAAAATAACTAACGGAAACAAATGTATCATTGACTTTTCCTATTGCATCATTCTTTTTGATAAAAAAAAAATAAATGTGTTTTTTTAAGCTTTGTTGTAGTCACTAATTAATATGAATAATTTTTATCGTAACAAAAAATTGACTTCAAAAACTCATTCGAGTATCCGATGATTTCAATTTTCTCACTACTTTGCTGCCCCCCCCCCCGTCGGAAAAATCAAGGTTCTATTATATACCCCTACCATACCACACTTTATGCATTCTGTAATAGGCAAATTTGTAAATAAAAGGGATTAACATTTTAAACCACAGAGAAAATAACTTTAATACGTTAACAGCTTAGAAAATATTTCCAAAGAACATTACATCAGAAATCAGCGATAAAATACTTGGGTTTACGATGATCAAATTTTTTTAGCTTAACAAACATAAATTCGTTTTTTAGAAAAGAAATCGCATCGGAAGTTTTAAAAAATGACCACTTATTTGAAAAATAAAATATAATAAAATGCTGACGAACATTGAATGAAGGTTTCTCTGAACAAATACTGCAAATCGTATTATTCTCAAATCGAACTATAAACCGTTTTTTATTTTCCAAAATAAACCAATACTTTATTAGTGAGAAACTATTGTTGTAAGGAATATTTTTTCTAATATAGAATCATGCATGTTTGGGATTTCTGTTTTTATTATTATCCATTGCTATTTATTCAAATTGATTTTCATAGCAATTTTGCATAATTTTAAAGTTTGATTTCGTCTAGACTAGTCAACTTCATTTAAATAAAATAACAAAATCGAAGTATATTCTTTGGAATGAAATTTTCTACTTTTAATTAAAGAATATTTATTTATACAAACATTTTAAATTTTATATAGGCCTCATTACAGTTTTAAACTATATTTTTTCAAACAAATGAATCGAGAATTTTGGTAAATAAGAGACTTTAATGAAGCAAATAAAAATAAAATGTTATCAATAATCTTACCATATTTTTCATAATATTCTTGCCATAAGAGCTTTCTGGAAACATGGACAAACAGTTTGCCATTGCATAAAATGATTAAAAATTTGTACATTATTTTACGATCTCATTGTTTATTTAAAATGATTATTTAAATTTATTAATTGATTATTTAAAAACTGATTAAAAATTTATGTCCCTCAAATTATTTTTCTAACATCATTTTTTACCATTAATCATCAAGCAGCTATTTTAATTTATTTTAATTTACAGGATTTTTTACAATGCATTATTTTAAAAACAATTGCGTCTGAAAATTTAATTCCTCTGTAAATGTTTCAGGGTTCTTAAAGGAAATAAAATTGTACATCATTAATGGCAGAAGGCAATATAGTAGAAGACGTAACAGACTTTTATCAAACAACTACAAATAAGGAGAACAGTGCGAATGACATTTATTGTAATTTTCTTCAACAAAATCAAATTAATAAATCTGAAGGTGAGTCTGAATTATTATTTTTTTAAATCACTTATTTTTATTGAAAAAGTATTTTTATTGTAATTTTGGTAATTTTTTATAGTAAGTGTGACATTTTGTTGAATATCACTTGTCAAACATTTCCTGGGAAAGAAGTATTTCAAATATCATGCCCAATAAAGACGGATAAAAAAAGTTCAGGTTCAGTTCCATCTCTAATATATATATAT